GGTGAGGGATTTAAATGGTTAGAACTAATATTCCAGGCAGCTAAGATGACTGTTATGTGAAGGGTGCTTTTTTCACGTTGTTTTTTTACGGATTACGTAAGGGATTCTTTTTGTGCTCTACTAAACCGTTTAACTTTTGTTCCCTTTTATTGAATGCTTTTTTTTCAGTTTTAGGGCGATGTTAACGGCATTTGCAACACAATCAAGTCATACAAATGCCGATGATGAGGTTTTACTAGAGTGTAACATACAAGTAAAAGGAGGAGAGATTAGGGTGATTGATGTGTGACAGGACAGAAGGAGCTAACCACACCAGAACACCCGTTTGTGTTGTTGTTGCCGTTGATGTTGTTGTTGTTGCTGATGCTGTTGCTGTTACTGCTGCTGCTGTGTTGTTGTTGACGGTATTGGTGGTGATGGCAGTGGTGGTACTGTTGCTGTAGTTTCTTCTGTCCTTTTCAAATACCAGGACAAACAGCAATACGAAAAGAAATGAGCCCACTACATATTCATGGTAATATCAATACAAGTGTCTGACTGTAAACACTTGTCCCAAATATAGACTTAAACAAGAAAGGACCACGTTAAGTTCCGGGCCACCTCGAGGGAGTATTCAGGAGCTCTTCACAAAAATAGCGTGTGGGGGGTTAATTTGCCACCACTTTATTGACCGATCAAACAGTCTTTTAGGAGCTGCCTTTGTTACTCGCTACCTGCAGGGAATTAGAGACCCGAGACAAGCACCCAACAGTTAATTGGGTAAACAGTTTGCCTACTTTTAGTTATCGCGATTATGACTGCAGAGATTTACAGTTCTGTTGGGGTGGTTTGAGTTTCCAAAAGGTCACTGTTATTCAGTATGCTGTGCTAAATAAACGTCTTGCAGTTATTCAGCATACTTGGCGGGAACTTACGGGTTTTACCAATATCCATTCAAAGCCTACCATCTTAATCATAATGTAGTATAGATACTTCTATGACCTTTTTATTAATATGTATTATCACAGTTCCTTCAGATTACTAGCAATTGTGTATCTGTACCGAGCTTAAACGTTATTCTTGTGAACAATAATCGTTCAATTATATCAAAAGTGTGTGACTGCAGGCCTGTTTGTAAGTGCAAGCTAATATTGTGTGTGTTTGTAATTAGGTTTTGTGGAGGATAGGATACTGTTTTAGAGAATAAGTTTGGCAGGAACAAATTGCAGAGGTACTGAATAAAATAGAATTCTCTCCACTCGGGAATCAAACTCTTGTCCCTTGCAAGCAACAGTAAAAATCCGCACCACTATGCCCCCATACGCTCGTGTTACCCATAAAAATACATAAGTATAAGTGTACTGCTCAAGCGGATGGTTGGCGAGTGCGCTGGTGTGGTTTGCTCCTTCTTTCTTATCAAACATCCATCGTCCTTATCTCTCTTCCTTCTTTTGGGTTCTTTTTGTGTTTTTCTTACTCTCTAGCAACATCTCTAATCTTCGGCACTGATAATGACCTTATTGCGTTGCCGTAAATTTTTTACTAAAACTAAAATGGAACTGTTCCTGCTATTTGTTTCATTGTATAGTTGCGCTGGTATGTTCTGGCCGCAGAACTGCCTTGCTGGTTATTTTAATGCACTTCGCTCAGGTTCAAAAGCTTCTAAATTGTAGAAGTATGCTGAATAACTGCCGTGTGTTTATTCAGTATACTGTGCTGAATATCTACATCGTTTCCAAAATATCAAACTATGTTATGTGGGCCACAAAAGAAAAGGGGCCGCAAGATAGGGTGTACAGATTGTGAATATATAGGGGGGGGGG